AATCCTTGATCCAGTTTTCCCTGCCCCAGTGGAGAAGAGTGCCTGATAGCAGGATCTGCTGAGCCACTCTACAGGGTGTCATTCTGCCTCCAGAGAGTCCCAAACAAAGAGATACAGCTGAGATAATTGCCAAGATGTGCTTCAGGTAGCTGAATCTAATGCACCTGCCCTGAAGCACAAATGCTGAGCTGCTTCCAAACCTGGGATGCAGACACAGATGCCCTGCTGAGATGACCTAACCATGGCGACTACAATTTTCTGCAGTTTGAGTTGTTTGCTTTGGAGCTAAGATGCGGACGAAAATCTGACTATTTTAATCTTTGGGAAACAGAACTCATTTTGATTAAAATACTAACCCCTCTTCATTTAGGAAGGCAGCAAACTGGGGTTTGACTGTTGCTCAAAAACTGGAATTGGTGTTTGATAACAACGTCTGTCATTGTATTCTTACTGGAATTGACCTAATATTTGTAACTGCTTATAGATGTTGGGAAAAGTTTGACACATGCTGTAAAGTGTTTGGGTTTAATGCATATATTAAGAATTTTAGATTTTGATCCCTTTACACTGCCCTAATTTTTGGCAGGCAGCACTCGTAATCTTATGTTGGAGAGTAGGCACTTAGGAAGGAGTATATACCATGGGCCAGATTAAAAGGTGAATACTGGGTTTGGAAGGTGCCCTTTCTTCTTATGTCCAGAGATTGAGTCATTGGTGACCAAATTATATCTTTACTCAACCTATATGAGATACCTTTTATTTGAGGAGCTCCAAGGACAGGCAACTTGTGGCAGGACCTTCCCCCCAACCTAAGACAGGGCCCTGGGAACCCTAGGACGGGTAAGGGGGGAAAGACCTGGTCCCCACTCGACCTAAGACAGGGGCCCTCATCGCAGGCCATCATTAAGGGCCAAAATCAAAAATATAAATAAAAAATAACTAATGCTATGCATAAGGCACCCCTCTGTTCCCAGGAGAGGAAAAAATGCTCCACCACTCGAGAAGAGGGTCCCTCCTTGTCCCAGTCCCTTCTCCTCTAGGTCTGACAACGTGGTTAGACTCTGACTTGATGCCCTCCACTTGATAAGCTGCCAACCATAATAAAAGGAAGGGGATACGCCAGGGACCATTGTCCTAAAGATGATAGCAGGGACCATTGTCCTAAGGATGTTTGCAGAGAGCCCCACACCCCAACTATTTAGAGAATTATTTGTTAACAGAACCCGCCCCACATTCCAACTATCTTGAGAATTGTTTGTTGTTGGAATCACAAAAGGAACATTTCAGCTTGCACAGAGAACACTAGGTGTGCTGACTGGTGACCTTTGCTGCCCCAGCAAGGTTTCTTCTTGCTCCTGCCCCCCATCCCAAGCCAAATTCCTCATTCAAGGGCTATATAGCAACCATTACCCTACTAAAGTGAGCCCTTGACAACAAAACTTTGCTTGGTCTCCTTCTTCTCTCCCACCCATGATTCTTTCAGGTAGTGCCTCTTCAAGACCCTGAATAACTGGACCTGCTGGACGGGTCGTTCAAGAACTGCTGCTGGACACTTTAGCAGATGCTAGGGACATAATGATTAGACACATTAAGCTCCATTTTTAATATTCTATCTGCAAACTTTTAGTTTCATAAGTGGGAAGAAGAAATTAATACAATTACTCTAATAGGCAACTTGGGGGGAAGTTGCTACTGACTTTAAGTCTAATCACTTCTCCAAATCATGCCAAAGAGAACAGAAAATGGGCTAGCTGTACATAAACAAAATTACTTTATTTCCAATAATGACAACACACAGTGAAATGAAAACTGTTTAATCACACAAAAACACAATAAAAAGGCCGTAGAAGCATTACATAGTGCAAACACCCAGGTACAGGGCTATTAACTCAGTGGCACTGTAGGAAATTACACAAAGACACATGGAAACACTTCCCTTCGGCCTCCCTAGTAAGCTGCCATTCTTCTCAATCTATTACCCCTCATTGCTACGACTGTACTGGCGACTCCCCAACCGGGATGCCAGGAACTGCCTGTTTCTGCACACCAGCAGAGCATCTTTTGCCACCTACTCAAGTGCACATAAAAAGAATTCCTACACAGCAAGACCTCAGCAAGGACGTTCCATGAGAAAAGGATGTCTGGAGGATAAAAGATAGCATGTGAGCAGAGGACTTACAGTAAGCAACACAGGCTCTGGCAAACAGGCAGCAA